GATTTACAAATAAGGAATCCTACTTCGCGGAATTTCATTTATCACGGTAGGGTCTAGAACCGATTAACCGCGATAAACGAGGGTTCACTGTATGTCCTTTTGCAACTGACGACTCCCTCAGTATGTTTTCAAGGTTTATCCATTCCATCATAACATGTATCAGAATGTCACTTCTCTCTGTGGATGAATATTTAAATGTATGTGTGGACCATATTTTATGTCTCCACTCTTCTGTTGACGGACATTTGGACCGGTTCACCTTTGTATTGTTATGGAAATGCTGCGAGATCACTCGTCTAAAAGGCAGCATGGTCAGCCCTGCGCTCACCTCTTTGGAGCGAGTATCGCAGAGTCGAATTTCTGGGTCCTACGGTAACTGTAGGTTTTGTTCGCGACACTTTTCCACCATGGAAGCGTATTCTACTTTGTCCATAGGCACGAGAACACTTATCCATTTCTCTGCGAAGAGCCATCTCCATGGGGATGAAGTGGTATCTGCGGTGTTTTTGTTGTTGTTGATGTTTTACCTGAAATGACATAGACACTCATACTGTAAGAAATTTTATTTTAATACCGTTAACACAGAAATATTAATTTCCCTGTCTTGCACATAGCGATCTTATTTCAGTCCCCTATTTCTGCATAAAGTTTTTCCCATGGCTTCTTTTTAAATGTAAGTAATTTATGTATTTGAACAGTGCTCTTGGCACCTCATCCACACGTCATACAATTCAATAATTCAACCCTTTAGGGATGGGTTGTACAATCTGTACCACAATCGATTTTAGAGCATTTCTTCTCCCGTGTGCCCCTTGTTATGCATGCCTAATTTTCTTCTTCTTCTTTTCCATTACTTTTTAGATCCACGCTTCCATGTCTTCTTCCCCCTTTGGTGTTTAGTTTGCTCATTTGCTGCCATGTATTTTCTGTTTCTCCTTCTAGCTTGCCAACCAGGCCGGAATTCCTCCCGGTGTGTACAATGTCGTTCCCTGCTCTCAAAAGAAGGCCAAAGAGGTCGGAGAAGCTCTTTGTACTGACCCTCTGGTATCCAAAATTTCCTTCACTGGCTCAACAGCTACTGGGAAGGTATGTTACTTAAGTCTCAAAGAAAAGTCCTCCACATGATTCCTCCTTACACACCCCGCTAAGAGCACCCTACCATTGAGTCGTTTCTGACTTCGAGGGTTTCTGGGACTGTCAGTCTTTATGGGAACAGACCGCCTCATCTGTCTCTTGTGGAGTCGATGGTGGGTTTGAACTGCCAATCTTGCAGTTAGCCCACTGCCTAACCTACAGTGCCAGTAGGGCTCCTTATAGGGTATAAAAATGCTATTTCATGTTGATGACCACTTTTAGCAAGCAGAGTGTTAAGTGCTCAGTCAAGTAAAGCAATGTACGGTCATCTTCTAGGGATGTTTTTTATGTGATTCCTCATTATGACCAGACCTAGATTCTTATTTAAGGATTTTGTTGGGGGTGGTGGGGTGGTGGCTTGAAGGGGCTGGAGGAAGTCTATGGCCCGTGTTCTGTGTGAAGTGACTAAAAGTAGCCGTCGTATTTCTTTGACAGTGGGATGAACCCAATGCCATTCTTGAATTTGCCGTTCGCAGCATTGTAAGCCATATGATCGCCTGACTCAGATGGCCAATCCCGGTCTATTTCAGCTCACGGATGCCTAGGCTATCAATCTCCATGTGTTCCATTTCATTTTCCGTGACTTCCAATTTTCCTAGATTCATCCTTTGTACATCCCACAGCCCAATTACTACTAGATATTGGTAGGTGTTTCTTCTCATTTTTAGTCTTGCCCCATCAGCAAAGGAAGGTTCTGAAAGCTAGTCTCCATCTATTTCGTTATGGTCAACTCTACTCACAGAAGGCAGCGCTGCCTCCATTGAATATTGAGTACTGTCCGACCTGAGGGCCTCATCTTGGGCAATACTATCACTCACCCTGCGTCATTTAGTATTCATGGGTTTTGATAGTATATCTGACAATGTTCTGCTGATTTCTGTAAGGTTTTTCAATGACTGACACCTCAGAAGTGGATAGGTTATTCCTTCTTCCTAGTCTGCTGTAAGAATTTTTGGTGAAACTTTGGCTGACCTGCTGGTGTTTCAAATATTGGTAATGTAGCATCCAGCATCACAGCAATACACCAGTCACCACAGAATGACAAACCAAAGACAAGTGGTGGGAATCCAGCCTCTTACAACGATTCAAATTTACTGACTAACCGAAGAAATTGAAGAACTCTACCAATTTCTTCAGTCTGAAATTGATCACACAATGAAGGTACATTGATAATTATTGGCAATTAGAATGTGAAAGAGAAAGCAACCATTATTGCAAAATACAACCTTCCTGATAGAAACAAAGCTGGAGATCACGTGAAAGAATTTTTCAAGACCAGCAACTTTTTCATTGCAAACACCTAATTTCAGCAACATAAACCAAAACTATCCACTTGGGATTCACCCGATAGAAAACACAGAAATTGAATTTCTTTCTGTGGGAAAGAAATGATGGAGAAGCTAAATATCAGCAACCAAAATGTGGCCAGAGGTTGACTGTCAAATCAATCGCTCAGATGTAAGCTCAGAATGAAGTTGAAACCATTTAAACAAGTCCACTGGGGACATTTAAGTCCACTGGAGCCATTTAAACAAGGCCAACCTGGGAGATATCCCACCTGAATTTTGAGAACGCCTTAAGAACACATTTGACTCTTAGAACACCAATGATAGAAGACCTGTTGAGCTGTGGGATAGAATCAGGAACATTATTTAAGAAAGCAACGGGTCATTGAAAAGACAGGAACGAAAAATCGAAGTGGATGTCAGAAGGGATTCTGAAACATGCTCTTGAGCATCGAATAACTTAAGCAAATGGAAGAAATAGTGAAATAAAAAAGCTGAACAAACATTTCTGTTCAAGAAGACAAAGTTCTATAATGTCTGTCCAAAGACCAGGAGCTAGAAAACCAAAAAAGGAAGGCCATGCTCAGCATGTACCAAGTTGAAAGAATTGAAGAAAATACACAAGCTTTCTTTTGCAATACTGAAACGTTCGCTAGGCAAAGCATTGAAAAATTCAGAAAGTATCAAAAGAAGAGAAAAGGACTGCGCTGTACTAAAAGGCAGCATAATGAAGAACCAGTGGTAAGAAGGAAGTAGACGAGCTGCACTGAAGATATTCTTGGAAAATAAAGCCCCAGAAATTGACAGAATACCAACGGAAATATTTCAGTTAGCTGATGAAACAATGGACAGACTCACCCATCCGTGCCAAGACGTTTCGGAGGCAGCTCCCTGGCCAATGATGGGAAAGATCTGTATTTGTTCAGGTTGGCAAAGAAAGGTGAACGGGGAAATTATCCTCAACAGAATGGGGGAATTATCTAACAATATCATTAATATCACATGCAAATAAAATTCTGCTGAAGATAATTTAAAAACAAAGGCAGCAGTACGTCAAAAGGAAGCTACCAGAAATTCAAGCTAGATTCAGAGGAGGATTTGGCAAGAAGGATATCATTGCTTGAATCATATGATCTGAGCTGAAAGCAGTGAGTACCAGAAAGATGTTTACTGGTGTTTTATTGACGATGCAAAAGCATTTGACTGTGTGGATCATAACAAACTCTGAATACCATTGAGAAGAATGAGAATTCCAAAACATTCCAATGTGCACATGTGCAACTTGAATACAGACCAGGAGGCAGTTGTTCAAACAGAAGTAGAGGCTGCTGCGCGGTTTAACATCATCAGGAAAGGTGGGCACCAGCATTACATCCTTCCTTCAGTTACATTACACCACATTCCTTCAGTCTGCATGCATACGTGCACTTGTGAGGACGGCTCAGGACAGCGCAGTGGTTTGTTCTGCCGTGGGTTGGAACCAACTCCTTGGCACCTAACAACAATAACATCTGAACCTATAAATCAAGAAGCCGGACTGTCTGAAGAAGACAACATACCAGGATTGGAGGAAGGCTTATTAACGACCTGACATATATAGATGACACAACTTTACTTGCTTGAGGACTTGCAACACGTGCTGATGAAAAGCGAGGATTGCCGCCTTCAATATGGATTACCAATTGATGTAATGCAGTCCCAAATTCTCACAACTGGACCAAGAGACAGCATCCTGATAACCAAAGAAAAGACTGTAATTGTCAAGGATTTCATTGTCCATACTCTTGGAAGCCGCAGTTAGGAAATCAAATGGCACATTGTATTGGGTAAATGTGCTGCACGAGACTTTTTAAAAGTGCTGAAGAGCAGGGATGTCACTTTGAGGACTAAAAGTTTGCCTCACCCAAGGCCAGGTCTTTTCAATGACCTTATACTCATGGGAAAGCTGGACGTAGAATAAGGCCAACCAAAGAATAGCCAATGCCTTTGAATTACAGTGCTAGCAAAAAATACTGGAAAAGAACTGACCAGAATGCTTCTTGGAAGCTAGGATGGCTAGCCTTCATTCCACGTACTGGGGACATATCATTAGGAGAGGCCAGTCCCTGGAAAAGGACATCATGCTGGTGAAGGAGAAAGTCGGCCGAGTAAAGGGAGACCCTGGACAAGATGGGTGGGTGCAGTGGCTGCAGCAGTGACCTCCCACCTAACAGTTTGTGGGAGGTACAGGACCACGCAGTACTTCCTTCCGTCCTACATAGGGTTGCTGTGAGCTAACCTATTCAACGCTGCCACCACCCTCACCTTCATCCCTGGATCCCTCCTCCTCACCTTCTGAGGAACTCTTTTTAGCTCCTCAGGCTCCCTTTACACAAATACTAAGCAAATATGAATACATGGGGGCTTTAAACCTCTAGAAAAATTCCATTATTATTTCCTTCCATGTTCTATGAATTCTTGAAGCTCCGTGTCTGTGTGCATATATACATGTTTTGTTTGATAAGAAGCTATGAATGTTTGAATGTTACTGCAACCCTAGTAACAACTTTGTCACCTACCCTCATGTGTGTATATTTACCCTCATGTGCATGTGTGTGCATACGCACACAAACGAGGGTAAATAAAAAAAGTATTCCAGTTCATACACGCAGAGGGTCATTCCAAACAAAACATGTCTAAATATGTACATACAAGAGGCCCTCAAAAAGTCCGTGAGAAAATGCAATTAGTCCGTGTAATTCAGCAGTCTCTCTGCTGGGTGTATATCCTAGAGAAGTAATCACATGAACAGACCTGTGCACACCTGTGTTCCCTGCGGCACTGTTCACAGTACAAGAAGATGGAAACAACCCAAATGCTCCTCAGTAGAAGAACGGCTAGAGGAACTGTGGCACACACACACGATGAAGGTCCATGCGTCGCTGAACAATGGGAAACCACGAAGCACCTCATGACATGGCTGGACCGGGAGAACGTGATGCTGAGTGAAAGTAGCCGATCATGAAAGACAAGTCTTATGTGTCGCTGGTAGAAGGGGGGTAGGGAGCAACAAAATAAAAAAACGTCCATACCAATCTTTGGAAATTGCGGGGAAGGCGGGGAGTGGGGGGGCGGCCGGCCATAAGGTAGACGAAGAAGGATAAGTCCAAACAACTAGAGTATTAAAACAGGTGTTAACTTGGGTGAAATGGAAGATAGTCGTCCACAAGAGGGAGCAATCAGGGATCGGGTGAGGAGTAAACGATTGGGGCTTTGATTAGTAATTTAAATTGCTGAATACAAAATTGATGATATGAAATTAAACCCCTCCCTCATTCACAATAAAAAAAAATTTTTTAAACTATTAAGAAAAAGGTGCTACAATTTAAAAATGGACAAGAAGAAGACTAGAAAAAATGGACACAGGATTTGATACATGTTTAACTAAAGAAGAAAAAATGATCAATAAACATTTGAAAGGGTGCTTGTAAACAGAAAATGGAATAAAAAGATACTGGAATTTTCCCACAAATTGTAAAATGCTCCCTGGTGTTCTTGTATCCTTTTCTTTTGTTGTTGTTTTCTGGGTTTTAGGTTTGGGGTTTTTTTTCTGTTTACTGGAGTTGTTTAGTTTTTTACAGTTTCAAATTGGCACTTAATTGACATATCATAGAATTGAATCGTTCAAACACATCAAGGGGGAATTGTACAATCACCCTCGCGTCCATCTTAGGCGTGTGTCGGAGTCCAGCTCCTGGAGGGAGGATTGAACTGGATCCCTGAAGGAGGTGTGGAGTCGGCAAACACCGACGAGACAGACACGAGAGATGTGCTGGTGGAAGCAATCTCTGCTGAGTTCCTCCAAACAGCTTTATTTATACCATCAAAAGTTCTGCAGACCACTCATGAAAACAATGCCTTAAGAATAACTCCAAAGTCACCCTATTGTTTCCACTAAAACCTAATAAAAGGCCATTATAAGGTCTGTACTTTTTCTGTCACTTTCTGTCCTCTTTCTGGTTCTTTCTTTCTGGACTGCTTGTCTTATACGTCACATGCTCTTCTTGATTGAGGTGTTCAGAAAATTTGGTTAGACTCATGTCCTACTCACTGCCCTAGTTTTTGCTCACAATGTTCCTTTTCTCACCGACTAACTTAACACAATGAAACTACCTCATGTGCTACTTCAAAGCCTAATATCTACAAACAGAGTTAAATGCTTCTCAGAGTTAAATATTTTCCTTTACGAACTCTCCCATGGTAACTGTTCCATTGTCTACCTATGTCTTTTATTTTTATACTCCTGAGGCACCATGGGGAGCCAACCCGTCTGATTCTTTGCCAAAGACTTAATGTTTCCCCTTTTACATGTTTTCTATTAATGTTAACCATTCTCTCTCCTTCTATGTAAGCCCCTGTCCAAGGTAAAGGGGCCTCAGTTGGGGGAGGCAGTCTATAAGGTCCTCTATATCGGCAAGGCCACAAGAGTCCCCCACTACCTAATCTGGATGGAATCCAGGGTTTTTCGGTGGGTTTCATTTTCTCCTCTGACCTCACTCAATTCCCACATATCCTTCTCAGAATTCCCAAAGCTGTCTCGCTGTCTAAGCCTCTCCAATGCCTCAGTTAAGGAAAGCCCCGTCATATTGAAGCAAGTTTTACATCTGGTTTCATTCAGACTTCTCAAAACTGCCCTCGCATCCACTCCAGGTGCGGTAAACATGACAGTGCACAAAATTCCCAAGAATGGATTTAACAACAGCAAATATTTGAGGGATGTTGGAATCCCTCCCTGGGAAGCTCTGCTCTGCAGATGCTTCTTCCACCAGGCTGCAGCTCTGCTAGACAGCATGGCTGGGATGGCTCCCAACAGACGTGCATTCCCTCCCCCACATGGTTGATTCGCCCCGCTTCATGCCTTCACTGTTTACTCCCACACTCCCCTTTCCCTGCCTGTACCCATTTCCCAAGACAGAATCATCCTATATTTGGGTCTCCGCTTGCCTTTTCACTGGGGGTAAAACTTCAGCACAAAGATGCTGTAGTCCTGCGTCGTTCGTTCCAGCAATCACCACCTCCTCTCTTGGGTTCGTAGATCCTGTTGCGCTATGCTGCGGACTCGGTGAAGCGAGTCTCCATGGAGCTTGGCGGCCATGCCCCTTTCATTGTGTTCGACAGTGCCAACGTGGACCGGGCTGTCGCCGGCGCCATGGCATCCAAGTTTCGGAACTCTGGCCAGGTGAGTCAGCGAGGGTTGTCGATGAGCTGGGTGTCTGTGCGCAGGTGT